CAGCTACCTACTGCGCCCAGCGCTGAAGACTACAAGCTAACGCTACTACTACTCTGCAGCGCTCCCTCCAGAGTGCTGCTCCCGAATCCTGAAGACTACAACTTCCCCCTGCCTGTAGGGCGGGCCAGTCTTATATAGTGCTGGCTCGTTCAGGAGGCTGCTCTTGCCAATGCCCAAACGTGCTAGACCCTAAGGAAGCTTCCGGGAAGTTTCCAGGTAGCTTCTGGCTAAAGCCTGAGGAAGCTTCTGGAAAGTTCCCAGGTAGCTTGTGCCTAAAGCCTGAGGGCCTATAGGCCCTTGTTTTCAGGCTGTCAGGCTAAAATGCCATGGGGACTGTAAGCCCTGGATTTCAGGCTTTCGGGCTGAAACAGACACGGGGCCTGTAAGCCCTGGATTTCAGGCTTTCGACCTGAAACAGCCACAGGGCCTGTAAGCCCTGGATTTCAGGCTTTCGGCCTGAAGGACGCAGGGCCTGGAAAATGGCCCGCGTGTGCAGGTGCAGCATGCAACACCCCCCTCTCCTTATGAAGTCAAGCCGGGGCGAGGGCGAAGCCGACGATCTGAAGGTGGAACCTGGACGCGGGCGTGGCGTGGAGCCGAAGAAACCGGCTTGCCTTGCATCTTGCGTTCGTAGCGTGCGAGAACGTCTGGAGCTCTTGCTTGACGTTCCGCACGGGTCAACCAACGGTCAGCTCGGTGTGTGCAGTAGGCAAAATGCACTAAATACTCGGTTGGCCTGTTGCCGTAGCGCCGCTGGGAGATGATGTCGCCGACCTCCTGAAAACCATCCATGGATGGTGGGTCTTGCGAACGTCTTCCGGGAAAATCGTCATGTTCCGCTGGCATGTAAAGAGCCAACTTGGAGCAATGAAAGACTGGGTAGACGGGCAAGTGGCCAGACACCTGAATCGTGAAGGAAGGTCCCTCGGGTGCGTCTCCAGCGGGTGCTACGATCGGCCAAGGCCCCACCCATTTCGGGAGGAGCTTGCGAGAGATGTCTTGTTCAAGGCTGAATTCCGCTGCAGAAACCCAAACGAGATCCCCTGCACTGAATGGGCAAGGAAGACGCTGGCGATTGGCCTGCTGGCTCATGCGTTGCTGCGTCTTAGCCATCTGGTCGCGTGCCTTGACAAGAAGCTCTTGCATCCGACGCAAGAAAATAAGATGGTCGTCGCTCTCGGCCGTTCGTGGAGTAATAGTGTCCAACGGTGAAGTGACCGGCGAGCCGTGCTCAAACTCGAAAGGCGATATCCCGATAGCCGGGTGGATGGAAGAGTTGTAGGCCAACTCGACATCCGGCAGCCGCTCAACCCAGTCCTTCTGGTCAGGACGAATGAGAGTGCGAAGGAGAACCTGTGCGGTCTGGTGCGCCCTCTCCGTTTGGCCATCGGTCTGGGTGGCGAGCTGAAGTGGGCTTGAGAGATGAGCCCCATCGCTTGATGAGCACCAACCAAAAATCGGACATGAACCGAGTGTCGCGGTCGCAGACGATTTCCTTGGGGTAACCTTTGGTTCGAATCCAACCGGCGTAGAGAACCTCGGCCAACTCCGGTGCCTTGGCATGATAGCGACAAGGCAAGAACATGGCGAACTTGGTGAGTCGGTCGACCACCGTGAGAATCCCATCCACTCCGGTCTTGTGCTTGGGGAACGGGCTGGTAATGTCCATGGCAATCGCTTCCCTTCGCCTCAACGGGACCGGTAATGGTCGTAACTCGCCGTACGGACGATGGTTGCGGGATTTGCAGCGTCGGCAAACCTCGCATGACTTGCAATAGCGCGTGACGTCGCCGAGAAGGCCGGGCCACCAAAATCGCTCGCAAAGTCGGCCAATCGTGCGATTGAATCCAAAGTGTCCGGTGGCGGGAGCATCGTGGAACTCGCCAAGAAGTCGTGTACGCAAGTGAGGATCACTCGGCACGCAAAGAAGGTCCTTCCCCCGCGTGTGGACAAGCAAGTACCCCTCTTGGATCCGGTAGTGAGAAGGCGCAGGATTAGGAGAGGAGCAATTCGCGTACTTGTCGCGGAACTCGCGGTCGGCTTGGTACCCGCGGATGAAGCTGTTCCGCAGGTCATCGTCGATCTCGAAGGTTGAGTAGACCGCGGTACAATGATCCGGACGCCGTGAAAGAGCATCCGCAAAACGGTTCGACTTTCCGGGAATGTGATCGGGAAAGAAGTCGAACTGGTCGATGAAAGTCATCCATCGAGCGATGGTGCTGTCGACGGTGTCTTGGGTCTTATAGAAGACCAACGGATTGTTGTCCGTTACCCATCGAAATTGGCTTCGACCAAGGAGGAAGTGCCGCCACCGCTTGAGCGCGTGGACATAGGCGAGGAGCTCCTTCTTGCGTGCATCATTAATGGAATGCACGACCGACACTTTCTTGCTGAAATACTCGACCGGGTGCCAGTCCACACCATCATGTTGCTCAAGGACTCCACCAATGCCATAGCCTGACGCATCCGTAGTGACACGCGTAGGCAAAAGCGGGTCGTATATCCGCAAGACCTCCGCCAATAATAGCGCGACTTTGAGAGCCAAAAATGAATCCCGCGCCTCCTCTCCGAAGTCGAACGGTCGATCCTCGCATTGAAGCTTGGTCAAGTGGGCCGCGATCTTCGAGTAGCCTTTGATGAAACGCTGATAGTAGCCGGCGAGACCAAGGAACGAGCGGACATCCGTGACGTTCCGAGGCTCCGGCCACTCTTGGATGGCTTGAATCTTGTCCGATAGCGGACTGATGCCCTCCGGTGTGACAAAATGGCCCAAGTATTTCAGCTCTTGCCGGACAAATTCACACTTGTCSCGGTTGGCCTTGTACTTGGCACGGCGGAGCATCTCCAACACTCGTCGAAGATGCCCAAGATGATCCTCCAATGACAGGCTATAGACGAGAATATCGTCCAAGTAGACCAGCACAAACCGGTCCAACATTGCACGGAACACATTGGTCATTGTCGCTTGAAAGGTCGCTGGGGCGTTGGTGAGGCCAAAAGGCATGACCACCCACTCAAAATGCCCGTACCGCGTCTTGAACGCGGACTTGTAGCGATCGTTCGGCCGGATCGAGATTTGATGATATCCCGATTTCAAATCCAACTTAGAAAAATACTTTGCGCCGCCCAATCGCTTTAGAAGATCGTCGATGCGAGGAAGAGGCCCCACATTCTTGACGGTTTGCGCGTTGAGCTTGCGGTAGTCGATACACAATCGTAGATCCTTGTTCTTCTTCCGGACGAAAAGAATTGGTGCTCCATATGGGGAGCTACTAGGGCGGATCCAGCCCTTGGCCAACAAATCGTCGAGTTGTGCGCGGAGGACCTCAAGCTCCTCCTCGCTCATGCGATATATGCAACCTTTCAGCGGCACGGCACCGGCCTCAAGAATGATCTCGTGAAAGATCGGCCGATCCGGCACCATACCGGTAGGTGACTCGAAGATGTCGACGAACTCATCCAGCAACCGCACCACACGGGGGTCCGAAGACAAATCCGTGGGTGAAGAGTCGGCTACCGCGACAGTCCGTAGGAAACATAGGCCGATCTCCTCGGGTTGCTCGTAAGTGCAAGTCGCCCGGAATGATTTGGCCGTCACCACTTGGCACCGGATTGAAGGGTGCGGTAGAGGAACAGTACACGCCACTTCCGCGCCGAAGGCGTCGCGAACGCTAAGAGTCCGCCGGTGGAAGTTGATCGTGTGATCCGCACTTGCAAGCCAAGGCATTCCCAATATGATGTCGAAGTCCGTATCGAGAATATCGAATGTTACCGGTTCGCATGCATGAGGTGCGAAGTAGACCGGTACGGCCTCGATGTAACGGTCGAGAAGTTGTTGCGTCTTTCCATCCGCCAACTTGATCGCCGTCGGGTTTGCCTTCCTCCGAACTTGTGCGCCAAGGCCAGCCCTTTGCATAAAGGATTGGCTCATGAAATTGCGAGACGCGCCACTATCCAGCAAAGCGCTGCAGGACGCTTGCCCAACCTGAATGCGGACATACATGAGCGGTGCGTTGTTGTCATCGTACCGCTGCGTGCGAAACTCGCAGGCCACCTTGGTAGTATATGCCAGGATGTCCCCCACCACGACTTCGTCATCCGTCGGCGAAGTTGGTGGTGCATAGAAGGATAAGTAAGTGTGGAGATGAGCGCTAAGTGCTGCGCATTGCGGTCCCGACAAGCGGCCTGTGGTCGGGAGAGGAAGCCATGCAAAGTCCTCGAACGTGAGCGGGTCCAATGCCTCTATGTTGAACTCGCGTGCCAAATCCCGTTAAGAACCACTTGAAGACGATATGTCGCCGTTGCCGGACGGAGAAGAAACCGCACACACTTCTTGTCCTTGAGCTTGAGTACCCAGCGTAGGAACAAGCCGGGCAGCATAGTCCTCAAAAGAAAGTAGAAGAGGACTATCGACTTCCACGTGCGCCTCGGAATGAAGGCAAGTTACTCGCGAAGAAACCGGTTCCGGAGGCGTCGAGAGTGTTGTCGAATCACTCTCGGCGGTGCTCAGTTTCCCTGTTTGCCCTTGCCTTTCAATGGGCAGACCTGCGTCTGATGAAGATCGCCGTTGCACCAAAGGCAATAATGGAATCTCTCGCGTGCTTTGAATGCTTGCTCGGAGATGCCATATTGGGACCATGGGCCTGCCTGAGCTGTTGCACTGGGCCCGGGGCTAGATGCGGTGTATGTCTTCGTCCTGCCGCGTCCTCGGCCTCTGCCGGGGCGCCCACCTTCCCGGGCGGCTGCAAGTCTGTCCCCTTCACTGGCAGACACAGCCTCGCTGGTTTGGTCAAACGGCGTTGCCGCTGCGACCACAACCACTCTTGGTCGATGCTGGTCCCTGCTCGGGCCTTACGCCGATGAACGGAGGTTCTTGGCCTCCTTGTTCGTGATGATGATCTGTGCGGCCTTGTCAAACAATTCCGCCGTCGTCGTCAAGGTGTCCTCAACATGCGTCAGGGCATTGCTTAATGTCGAACATGACCTTGAGATGAAGTAGTGGCAGATGGCCTTGAAGCCCATCTGGATGTCTGGGACTGACGTCAAGTGTTGGTACTCGGCAATCCAATCCGTACTCGGCAGCGTGCCTTGCTCGAAGACCATGAGCTTGTCCATGGCTTTGATCTCCGGCGGCTCCACCTGGAACCGCTTGTGCCACGCCGCCTTCTGATCATCCCAACGATCTTGGTGTGCAAGTCGTTGGCTACCACTCCGTACTTGGACAGCAGGTTGTCCAACCAAGCCTGGCACTCGCCCCCTGAGCGAGAGTACAAGTATGCGTGGTGCTTGTGTTCCTTGACGTTGTGGAGCTGCAGCGTGAGTTCGAACTTGCGAAACCATGGAACCGGATCTGTCTTCATTGAGTCGCAGAAGATCTCCTGCCCATCGAACTTTGGAGCTGTCTCTCGCGGTTCCGAACTCGAGGTGTTGGCGGTAGTGCAGATCCGTTGTTGCAACTGTTGTGTCGCGGTCTGCTGCAATTGCACTCCATCCTTGAGTGAGTCGACGTCCATCTCCAATGTGTTGAGGCGGTCGGAGGTGTTGGAAGAGCTTGCATCGGCGGCGACGACTGGTCGCTGCTCCAACCGCTGAAGGCGATCTTGGACGTGAGCTAGAGAGTTGTCGAGACCGTGGATCTCCTCCTGTTGTGTAATGCAGGTTGCCAGGAGGTCTGTGAGATGCGAGAGGAGGAGCGCTATCTTGTTTGCGCTATCCTCCAGCTTTCTATTCTCGGCCTCGGTCCGCCATTCCGCTGCCATTGTAAGTAATGCCTGCTCTCCGGTAAATATCTTCTCAAGACGTTGGTGTCTTTCTTCATCGGCAGCCCTTGTTGCTGCCTCGTCATGCTGGCGTTGTTGTTCAATTGCTAGCAGACGTGCCTGCTCGGCATCCTCTGCCTTCTTCTTTGCTGCTGCGACAGCGTCATCTGCCCGTTTCTTTGTCTCGGTACTCCTGGCCAGCATGCGGGCCTGATAGGCCTCGTCTGCTTCTCCGGGCCTCTGATCCATGACTGTTGTATGAAACCGCAATAGCATAGACCAGACCGGGGCCTGTTGATGTGGTATCCCTTGCTGCTGACGTGGCACTGCTGACGTGTCCTGCTGACGTGGCCTGCTGGACATGGCAACTTACCAATGCCGCCGCAGGGGGTACCCGGAGACAAGCAAAGAAGGTAAGGCCAGAGGGGGCAACAACATAGATGGGGAGGGTGGGTGGGAAGAATTGCCCAGATAAGGAGCCACTAATCAGAAAAAGAAAAGTTTGAACTTTGCAAAAAAAAATTTTCGAGAAAAGTAAGAATCCTAACTTTTGCAAATTCAGTAGGTCTCCCAATCTCCCTTGAAGTTCGAAATGATCAATGGAGAAAAAAATTTCGACTTCAGACTGCAAATGATTATAGAACTGACTAACAGAATCCTCGAACTGCAAAAAATAATTTCCGAAAAGAAATGACAAGTATTCGGATTTTCTTAGATGAGAATATTCGCAGTTTGGAAAATAATACCTGCAGGACGGATTTCCCGTACCGTTTTCAGAAAAACGAATTTCGGAAAAGAAGATATTCTGAATTTCTAAGTACGGGAAATGCAACAGGAAATCGAAATTTTTGAAAAGAAGGATATTCCGGATTTTTTAACAACGAAATTTTGAATTTTAGGAAGAAAAACGAAAATGGAAACTTCAGATGTTGCACTAATGCAATTTTCCACAACAGAATAGCAAGAAAACAAAATCCAAGGAAAGAAAAAAAAAAATCGATTTTCGGTAGTAAGGTCAAAATCGTGATTTTGGGGTCTAACTAGTATGCTCTAATCAATCAATAAAGACTAACCAGCTATTTAGTCCCCGCACACGTGTCAGATCAGGTTGTCCTGATTCACGTGCGATGCTCCGATACCAACTGTTACATGCACATATATGCAATGTACGCAACAACCGAGGATCTGCAATGTGATGAAAAGGACTGAATGGACAATGCGGTGCGAATAGAATCTCGACAAGCAATGTGCATTCTCATACATACATAATGGTGCTGAATAGCGCAGGGAAGACTTAAATACAAAGACTGACCTGACCGGGACTGACCTCACTCACGTAGTACAAAGTAGCGAGGCAAAATGCTAGAATGCTAATAACTAGCCCAATCAATGTTTGAACTCAGACCGAACATACATCGTATCCCTCACCAGGTGTGAAGGAGCCTGGCGCTGTACACAGGAAGAAAGCGCCAGGTCCAGACATACACAGACGAAGAGGAAGGAATCAGACGAAAGGAGGGAGAGAGATGGGAATGTCGTCAACACCAAGTCTTTGTCACCAATCCCAAATAATCCCTCGTTGCCATGTCTGAAGTCCCAGAAGTCGAGTCTGGATCCGATGTCACCAAGCTTTGTCTCTCTTCTCTCATAGTCTGCAGATGCAGTGAAGTCAGATGTTGAGAGGGGGAGA